TTTATATTGCATGGACGTTTAAATTATATGGATATTCAAATTATATGGATATTCAAATTACATGGATATTCAAATTATATAGGCATTCAAATTATATAGATATTCAAATTATATGGGCATTCAAATTATATGAACATTCAAATTATATGGGCATTCAAATTACATGGATATTCAAATTATATGGGCATTCAAATAACATGGACATTTAAATTACATGGATATTCAAATTATATGGGCATTCAAATTACATGGGCATTCAAATTATATGGGCATTCAAATTATATGGGCATTCAAATAACATGGATATTCAAATAATATGGGCATTCAAATTACATGTACATTCAAATAACATGTACATTCAAATTATATGAGCATTCAAATTGCATGGATTTTGTCAAATTACATGGGCATTCAAATTACATGGATATTCAAATTAAATGAATATTCAAATAACATGGGCATTCAAATTACATGGATATTTATATTTACATCAGGATATTTGAACTCTGTTTTAACTGTAGCACTCACAATTCTGTTCATCTTTTCCAAAATTCATTTATTGAAAAGTATGGAGAACCAATTTCACAGTTTTAAACACGGCTCATCAAAAAGCCATAATACATATAGAATCTAGTTGCACACTTACATTTCCATTTAGACAAATATAACTCACATTATTGAGATCATATCATATGTGTTACATCTGTTGTCTTACAGTTTCTAAGAAACAACCACTTATTTTATCTTCTTTCATAGCATCTCTGATAGCATTGCCTAGCAATATCCCCAAAACCAAAATGCCTCTTTGAGTACCCTGACTACATATGTCAATATAACTACCCTCTCAAAAAGACCAAATATTTACACTTTGAGATTCAACCAATCAGAAAGCTCTACAGAGTCATGCAGATATGATGACACCAATTTAATAGTGAACCATCTTTGAGAAACAGCAGGCTCTCAAAGGCTTATTGAGTTTAAAGATATATCAGTTAAAGTGAGAGTAATAAGAGGTGGTTTCTCTTGAAAAGTGTGATCTAAGTGTTGCATTGCAATGAATGGTTCACTTGAAAACATCCAATTCACAAATCATTGTGATTATTCTTGCATAAGAGGTAAACAAAAATATTAACTAGCGGTGAAATGAATCGGCAAATACTCTGTAGCATATGAGTTTGAGCTAAAATGAAGAAGATTTGTCAGTGGCGAACATCACTAAAATGTCTCCAAGGAACACTGTCTTCCAAATGAGTAAAGGTCCCGGCAAGTTTTGTGAAATAATTTGTAAAACTTTATCTCATTTCTCGACTGATCAAAAATCATTAATTTAAATGATAGAATAGAGTATAATTCCTATTAAAATGTGCAACAATGAGTGCAGAGGGGCCATTCAACGATCATGGACCATTGTCAAAATATGTTTAAGTTCGTTTATTTCTTCAAGACTAACATATATTTTTATTATTTCCAAAGAAACCCCCTGGATGAACATTATTTCCTCTTGAAACATGGTGAATCTTAAAAATCTATAAGTGGGACTCCCTCTATAGAAGCTTTGAACTGAATTTACACTTCTTAATGCTGAAATTGATAGTTTATCCACACATTTTAAGAAAATAGGTATGTCAAAGAAAATGTTAAGCCAAATGTTGCCCTGATAGCTCAGAAAAAGTAAAAATATTCGAATTTTCTCTCTACAGTCCTTGTTGCCCCTAATGGTATACCATCATGATATAGCCGTGCCCCTTTTTCTTTATCCTTCCAAAAACCAGATAAGAGGGGCTCTGACATATCAGAATGCTGATATACATTCCTATTAACTTCTACAATACATGTGTACTTCAAGTTATAACAGTGATCTCCCATAGCATGAGGGATACTGGGTGCTGCACTCAAAATCCCTGCAAAATGGTGAGCTTTTAGATTTTTGACAATAACATGTTAAAACACCTGTGAAAATTATCATTTCAGATATCTCAAAATATTTTTTATATTGTGACAATCCTTTCATCAGTTTCATGATATAAAAAATAGAAAGTCAAAATAAAATTACCCTGTGTTATTTTCTCATCCTTTTTTGCTCTCTCAAATAGTGCAGAGATTTCTTTGCATCTTAAGAGTTAACTTTTCACATATGAATTTAGATGAAAATTCTGAGATTTTCCCCAAAGTACACAAAAGTTCTCTGACTCTGAAGAATCTACCAGTTTATTAAGATCCCGGTGAGTCCTTTCAGATGCTTGCTTGCTTATCACATCTCAATTTTTCTTCTATTAGAACTCTGATTTTGTCTGTTTAGTACAAGGTGATATTCAGTGCAATCCTTACATCACAACCCTTTGCAAAAGATTAACTTCCTACATACTCTGTAAATTAAGAAAATGTTTAGATCAAGCCAATTTAACCAATCAAAATATGTTGTCAATGAGCCATATCCTCTATATCTTCTATCTATAACTGGCTTCATGTTTAAATTCCTTAACCTTTACCATGCTGCCTTATTTCAGCAAATATATCCCACGCAACTGGCTTATTTTTCAAAGAGTGCAAAAAATGATATGCCTGGACTAAATAATTAATATCTCAATAACTACTGAATGAATCTGGATAAAATTTTCACAAAGGGAAGATACAGTGGCCTGGCTCATGAAAAAAAATGTTCTCATGAATTTTTTCGTACATTAACACGACTGGGCATAAATATACCATGAATACTCCTCCGGAATCCGCCGCTCCGCCTCTTCGTCTGGTCAGAATCCAAATCTGAATTTGCAGCGATCGAATGTTCAATTTTTCAATTCAGAAAATATTCTAGTTTCTATTTTCGATGACCGTTATCGGCTTCCAAGAGCCTAAAGAGCTCGAAATCGTAATCTATTTCCTCCACATTTTCGTTGTGATCTTATTTGGCCACCATTTTGTACGATTCGTTCACTAAAAACGACTAAAACACTGTTTAAATTGTTGAATTGAGAATTATTTTTCGAAATATCGCCATTTCTAGGTCAACAGGAAGTCATGTTAGGCACTGAATAAATCGGGCAATCTAATTGGACAATACGAATGGCGCGAAAAAGTAAAGTTTTTAAAAGTTTGAAATCGGGCGTACGGGTCCGCCGGCAGTTGTGAGAGACATTTTAGTCTCGGCGGACGAGTCCGCCGGCAGCACGCTAAAGGTTAAAGATATCATAAACATCTCAAATGAAATTAGCAAGATCTTATACTCATAAATCGCATAATTATTTGTTGTGAGAGGGTGATGTGATTACTTGCTAGTCTCCAGGGTTGGATTCTGTATGGTTCATGGTGTTATCCAGTACAAGTCTTAGATCTTGATTCAAACATACCAAAACAACAACCTGTTTAAAGTGGCACTGTCTCTTTTTTCATTTTCACTATTTTTCTGCAAAATGATGGAAATATTACTTTATAGAGGTACCAAAGGTCTTCCACTTAGACAAGTTCTACTGAATTTCTATTTTAAAGAAAAGTTAGATCATGACATAATATTCTACATGGTATCTATAGCAATGGTAATATGTAATACAATCAAAATGCGTGCATCGTGCCTCTTTAAATGCATTTTAAGATATTACAGTACTATTAGTTAGTCTTATATCTGCACTACCCTATCTTATACATCTTATATATCTTGTATATGTAAGTTAGGGATGCCTTAATCTATATTCTGCTGTAAATATTAGATATCTATTAGAAACAGACTGTAAGAGTTATATCCAATATCATTTTAGCAATAGCTAGCTAAATCTTCCAACATGTAAGATATGCAGGGGTTTCGATAGCAGCAGGCGATTTTCACTGGTTGTTTTCACACAATCGGCTATTGTTTTTAGGGACTTTTCAACTTTTCCATGTTAAATTTATAATTTCCATTAAGTTTGCCTGTTGTTTTCATTATTTAGCCTGTTGTGAGAAATTCTAGTGAAACCCCTTATATGAATGTATACTTAGGTCTCCGCACATATGAAACACATCAGATCTCAACAAGTTTATTTGTTCAATGTATCAAGTTTTTTGTTGCTGTTAAAAATCTTACCACAAAAAGAATGTGTGGTCTCTAAACATAAGCCTAATAAAAGACGTTGTATCCATTACTTTTTCTCAAGTTCCAGAAAACCAAGAAGAAAACCCTAATGATCATGTAGATGTTATTGAGAAAATGAGTACTTCTAAATTTGACATGTCCTAATGCTCAAAAGAAAAAAACACGTGGATTTTAGAATTTTTTGAACTATGATAACAGAGTTCTGCTTTGATCTTCAGTCAGTTTTATTACTCCCATTTTACATGACCAGGAGCACAATACTCATGGTCAAAATGACCCTTACCATGCTGAAATAGCTTTTTCAACCCCCTGAAATTGTGACTGAAAAAAGTTAAAGGTTAGCATTTCCGAAAGGTCACAGAACAAAATCTTTTGAATTTTTCGGAAAATGTGCCAAATATATTGCTTTGAATGATAGGAGCTATGAAAATTAAGAAAATTGTCCGAAACAAAAATTGTGCTCATAAAAAGGAAAAAAGATCAAATCACTTTTTTATTTTATTTTTTTTATTTCTAGAAATGAATTAAAATTTTCATAGCTCCTATCATTTAAAACAATATGTTAGACACATTTTCTAAAAAATTCAAAATATTCTGTTCATTCACTTTCCGAAACGCTAACTTTTAACTTTTTTCAGTCACATTTTCAGAGTGCTGCAAAAGCTATTTCAGCATGGTAAGGGTCATTTTGACCATGACCATTGGGATCCTGGCCATGTAAATGATATATGGGAGTATTACAACTGACTGAAGATGAAACTTGGACAACATTCATGCTATCGCATTGACATCGCCCTTGTCGTGGGAAAGTACCAGTTTGTTTACAATTATTAATCGTCAATATGAGACACATACAGGTTAGACTATATTCTGTTGGATACATACTAACATACTGCATACAGGTCTTATCGCAAATCAGACGCAAACCACCTACCTTCTAAATCAACAGTTTTTCCAGCACGCTTGAGTGCGCGAACAGCCTCATCATGAGTTGCCTCTCGAAGGTCTTCATTATTTACAGAGAGAATCGCATCACCGACATAAAGTTTTTCAGTTTTGTCTGCTGCCATGCTTTTGAATATTTTACTTATTAAAATTGGCATTTTATTCTCTTTGCCTCCTTTAATACTGATTCCAAGTCCATTTTGTTCCTCCTTTGAAACCCGTACCACCCTTTTTTGCCCTGCAATGCTTTCTGGAAGATCCCGATTTTGGAGGCTTGCATCGCTTTCCGATTTTGACCGGTTGTTTTGTAAATCCAAAGATCCGTTGACTAACTGTGTGTTCTGTGGTGTATCGTCTAGGCTTAGAACTAGCGCATCGTCCGCTAAAGTCACAAATACTCGACACCATTGCTGTCGAATGTAAACTTCTAACATTCCCGTCTTTCCGACCGGCGCCATCTTGTTCATCTTCAGGTCACGTGACTTGACTTTTACCACTCGCGCAGGGTTCGACTTTCACAAGTCCAAAAGTCAAGTGATTGTTCTCCGAATTCCGATGATCGTTCTGCCATCTATCAATCGTTATATTTTATATAATTATCTAATATATTTTCCCAATATTTCCAATGCCAGACTAGTATTGTCTTTAGAAGTTCTCCTTTGTTTGGATCAGTGTGTGTACACAGGGGGATTTGAAAAATCAAGAGGGGAGGGGGCCTCAAAAAGTGGATTTGCCCCTTTGGGTGCCCCCCAGCCCCCCCCCCCCCCCAAGTGACCAGATGGCCTTGTGCAATGACCCACATCTTCCTTCTTATTTCTAGTTTTAATGTTTCATTTGAAGCCGTTAGTATACCATTAGCTCCATGGATACATAAAGAGGTGTTTTGTGACTTGAGTGTGGTCTGTTCATGGGCTCTCATGGGTGGTAGAGCCCCCCTAGAGCCCATGGTCTGTTTCAGCATTTGGGTCATGTTTTATAAACAGCCATCGGGGATGATACCATAGGCTTTCAACGATTGAAAGCCCATGATGATACCAATGAAAATTTAGTGAACGAGCATTGAACAAATGACGTTTAATTTTGCCAAATATGACCTTAAACGACCGAGTTATTAACAAACATCTGTTTGTGTTACCGTTTTTGGCCCATCCTGTACTTGTAAGCAAATATCACGTGACAGCTCGTTTTGGGAATGAGTTGTGCCTTTTCTAAAAACATATTGCTGCTGTTCAGGGAGAAAATGACATTTGCTCTACGGCGGGCTGTAGCATCACAAAATCGATATTGAAAATCTACATCGCATTCTTATGCTGCATATTTCTCTCAATTTTGGGAACTTACGGCCGCCGTATGGTTGCCGTGGATCAAATGTTACCTAGCCTTTACAGTCGAGCAGATCCAACATTACGTAGTCGCGTAAATAAAGCAACAATGAAATAAACAAAACATAACATATTACGTAATCAGATTACATAAGCTTATTCAAAATGTTAGCTATAGTGACTCGAATAACTTCTTTTATTATGGTGGAAAAGGAAAAGTACATTATTCATTGTGCTCCTCAAGGGACATTTTTTAAATTCTAGTCTATTTATAAATACATGCAGTTTTGATTATCTATTCTTAAGACTTCAATACTATATGACCAGAAGGGTCATACGTATCAAAACTTTTTTATATCGATTATTCATTAAGAATTAACATGAAATTAACCCAAATTGCTGATTTTTTATAGTTTTCTCCTGCTCATTCTTATCTTAGGCCCATCTCCTGCTCATCTTGGTCGTAGCATTTTTGTTGTCAGGCCAGTATTAATATAATTTTATATTTACTCATTTGTGTGTGTGTGTATGGGCAAATATTTTATTTACTTCATCTATACATTCTTTTCTTCATCCTAGACATTATATAACGTATTTTTGGGCCTTGAGTAGTGAAGGTTTGGTATCAGTCTCCGAGCCTTTCGTCCAGTGCCATCCGTACCTCTGAGTGAAGGTACGCAACGAACGAAATGAATTTTGAGAATGGTTTGGTATATCACTGGTCAGTATCAAGCGAAGGTAACGGCCATAACCTTCGCATCAAAAGATGGCGGATGTTATGTGTGATTTCGATAATTTTAGTTTTCATTGAATTAATTAAACTACGTTATAGTTGACGTAATGCTTTGATATTTGAATTGTATCAGGCATATATGACATGGTAACTCTGGAGTATGGTCATTTGTTCACACAACATGCGTAGGCACCGCAGTTCAATGACATCATCCAACGCTTAGGGGAAAGTGTCGTGACTGGGATTTTGATATTTTAGGTGATAACTGATATGCGGTGATGCGGTAACTTTATGAGAGTTTATAATGGAGAGCAAAGATGTCGAGTAACCGCTTATCTGCTTATTGGAAACTATCATGACCGTTACCGTACCATACATTTCCAGTTACCTTCCTATAAGTAAGCGGTGGGTGATATCGTTGCCAGTGCGACATATGAACAAATTATCATCTCCAGAGAGTTCCCATGTCATATAAGTCTGAAAACTACACTTTCCGTTCGCCATCTTAGATGCGAAGGTTACGGCCGTTACCGTCACTTGATACTGTACTGACCAGTGTATATGGAGCTCGAAGTCAATCTCTAACTGCCCGTTCTTAAAACCATTTGATGAGTCTCAAACGTTTTGATTCACTCTATCCATTTATCCCAAAGTCTATGGGCTACAGACCGTTGATCATAACCCGGGGTTATAACTCGAGTATGTCATATTTCAAAGGTTGCCGGTGGCAATATTACAAGCGTTCACTCTGGCAGGGGTGATTTTGTCGCAGAGGTCATTTCTTCTTTGAGGGAATTATCTAGCTCGATGAGTTGTCTCAGGAAGCCATCATTCGGAAATATTTCCCTCTTAGTCCTTATCAATGTTATTGCATCTGTCAATGTGAATTGTCTCTTCAACATTAGGAATGCTATTACTAGGGTTGCTGATCTGCTTAGTCCTTGATGACAGTGGACGTAGACCTTGTTACCTTCTGAAATAAAAAATATTTCGTTTCATCAATCAAGGGATACAGGGATAATGTATTTTTCTTCATAATACATGTATTTCATAATTATTTGTAATTACTAAACTAAAATCGAGTGGTAAATGGAGTATGGAAATGCGTTTCACTATAACATAGGGGTCTATCAGACAATTGAGTTATCAGTCCCCCCCCCCCTTCAGAAAACGACATTGTTCGCAATCCCACTGATATACTAATAGATTATCCTATGAGTTCGGGATATTTGGATTATCCCGAGGCCAATATGATATATCCGCCCGATGACCGTAGGTTCCTTCGGGAAATATTGATATCATCTTTGTCATATTTCTCACACCAAATGCCCCCATGATTAAATTATACGATCCACGGACCTTTCGATATGGCTTCATCCAAGAATTCTGCCGCTGTTTCAAAATGTGGTGCCATTTTGAATGTGAACATATCTATGGCTCTGACACCGTGGAACACGATCCCACCCTCGTTGTAGAACTCCGCGTTTGTGTTGATCTGTCCAAACTTCCCACCCATGGCTGCATTGAGAACGTGTGTGACTCCTAGTTCTTTGAGAGCAGTTATGTCTTCAACTATTGTCCTGCAATCAGAGGGCAATTTATTATCGTTTCGTCCATTGTAATACAGTATAGAGAAACGTGTAAAACTGTAAACCCCGGTCCATACGCACGTAAACTAGAATGTGCGTAAGTGAACGTATTTAAAGAGTGCCCAGGTGTATTCTACAAATTTCAAATTCCGAATCATACCATTTATTGTATGATTCGATAAAAAGGGAGAATGATTCCATAATCCCTCTGCATGTACTTTGAAGAGACTTACCTATCACCCAGTAGGATTCCGGGGTATACTTCATCATGAGGATTCCCCGCTGCCACCATGTTTTGGGAATTCCCCACGACAATCCAACACGTTGCTTGGCTACCACTGGGCTGAGGCTTCGTCCCCCTGACTTGCTTAGACCGGGGAGGTAAGACTTCCGACATGATCTTCTTTAGTTCTTCTACTGTCAAATTATTAGTGGCCATTGTGTGTTGGTGTTTATTGCTATAAAACAATAATCAATAAGGTAAATAGAACTTGATGTTCCGAGGGCAATACAATACATCTGTACAAGTACATGTAGGCATTGCAACTTACCCGATTCTGTGCTTTACTCCAACTGCCGGTAAATATCTGACTCAGTCAAAGTGCTCGATGTAAACAATAGTCCAACATCCGTCTAGTCTGGTGTGTGTAATTCTTTCCATATAACAAGTAAAATCATTTTATATTGGGCTCGGTTTCTAGAGGGATTCTATGCTGAGAAAGCCCATGGTCATTCATATATCAGGCCTATTTGTTATAAATCTAATCATCCACATGACTTTATACTATTCAATGTATACTCAAGTTAAATATAACTATGAGTACAGTTCTTATCCATTTATAAATGCATTCCTGAATGATTCATTTATTGACTCACTCATACAAAACTGTAATCTTGTATATTGATTTAAGTTGTGAAAGCAATGAACGAAACGCATAGAATTACCGGGGATAGGGACTGAATAAAATGCAAATCGATTGACTGGCAGGTTGCACATATTGTATAAATCAGTTTTAGTTACATGATCGGTGATTCCCTAGAATCTAACGATACAACGTTTTATAGGTTCCAATATACCCTTTAAAAGTTAAAAGTGTCAGGCGAATGAATCTAATGCAATGAGCACAAAGATGTTCGGTAGAAAATGGACGTGATTCTTAAGATCATAATTTCAAATATGCTGAATTTATTTAACACTAAACAGGTTAAGCTGTACCTGGACGTATAGAATTAGGGTCCACCGGGGACTAATATTCCCTTTTCAAAGTATTTATTTGTTCGATTGAAATAGGTACAGGGTAGTGATAATATATAACCATTATAATCTATAATGGGTTTATACAAGGGCTTTCAAGAGCTCTTGATATTCAAGAGCTCTTGAAAGCCCATGGTTTATACAATCATTAGTTTACTAGAAAAATGTATGGTAATATTCAGGCCCGTAGCCAGGATTTGCCAAGGGGGGTTCACTTTTTGAAAAATTCCAGGGGGGGTCCACTTGTGACAATTTTGGTCCAAAAAAGGCCCAAATCACATAAAAAGCGCTCAGGTTGGTGAAAAACTGCATGATTTTGAAAGATTTTTTGGCCGGGGGGGGGGGGCAATACGAAACCCAACCCCCTGAATAATAAACATAGTATTTCACGTTAACAAGTTACTTTTATAACTGTACATGCAGCCGGGTTCTTTCATTCATGAATTATTTCGATAAAAAATGAATAACACAACTTTCATTTTTTAAATGTTTTTGTTTATTTTTTTATTATACTTAAATATACTCATTTATTTATAGCATCATGTTTATTTGAAAGTGACATTTCAAATCGACTAGATTTAATGAGATCTTCCGACTGTCCTTGATTGTCGTCTGCACTGTCGTCTTTAACTTCAACCAATCCTCCCCCGGGAATCTTTTTTCTGTCACGAAGCATTTTTATGAGCACCCTAAAAAGGAAACAACTTTTTAGAATTTTTAAATTCTCTGGATTATTTGACAATTATCTTAACGCAATATGAACTTTGTTGAGGCGTGGGTCTACTAGATATAGTACTTAGACTAAGGAACTTGAGGCTAAGCGTGCTCCTAGAATTTAATGATTGGGCCTTGGTCAAGATAATTAAATGTAGTTATGTTTAAAAAACAAACCCTACTTTTAGGCACAAAATTATAAAAACTCAAAATATCAAACCATAGCCTACTCACAGCATAAGTAATATTGCAGAGGCGTAAACAGCGGTTAGGAGGAAGAAAACGAACCCCGGCATCCACAGGAGGGTGGCAGAATACACCAAAGCTGACAACGATCCTCCCAGGGTTAAACATATCAGCTGAACGCTAGATATTGTTCCAAATAGCGATCCTGGAATAGTAACTAAAGGTATATAAACTGATAAATAGTATGCTTCATGTGTTGTCTACTGTACGGAAAAAACCTACGTAGATCATAAGATGAAATGGCCGAAAAGTAAGTTTCAGTTTTATGGTGGAAAGTTTTGTGATGGTAAGGTTTAACAACGCCATTAATAATGTCACGGTAAGGCACATGAAAAGAGGGGCAGTATTTCATATAATTAATCATATGAATATGTAGTTGCCTTGGTGTGCCAAATTTATTATATGTAATGTTCACTTTTCATATTTCACTTTTATCCCATATTTTTGTCGCACCTCCCCCATCCGCTACCATATATAACCACAGTCAATCTGTAGTCAGACGGAAGGACGGAAACAAGAAATAGTGACTGAACATTTCCTACCAGTTTCACTTGGATCTATCTGTTTGGAGGCTATTGACATCAGAAGGGGCGTCGTTGTTGACTGGAACACTCCCATGACTAACGCTAAAATAGAAACTAGTATTAAGTCAATTTATCAGACGAGTTGATTAATACTTTTTCAACTTATTCTCCAAAACAGTTATAATAGCTTCTGCCCTTTGTACTTGTGCCAAATCAGTCAAGTTATACTTACAAGTTACAAAATACTATACCTGTTTTACAAAAACGGTACACATTTGTAATTTGAAATTTAGACCCTGACCAATCAGCTTATATGTAGAAAACATTTTTGAAATTCTTACCTATAAAGACAGTAGGGACATCGCCAGCGAATCCCATTACAAGTGCGTTGAGGGCGCCTGACATCAATCCAACGATGACCATCCACTGATCTGGAACACATCTTTGCAAAAGCCCCAAAAGACCTGTACCGATAATATTAGAAAGCACTAGTTTGACAGCATTATAGACGCCGATCATGGTGGAGTTGAAACACAGTGGTGTGTTAAGGAGGTACAGAGTGACCACCTCCCCTGCGCTGACAACAGTAAAGGACGAGACAAGGAAAATAAAAAGAAGCATAAGGAGGACTTTCTGTCTATTGGTGCCATTGTCCTTGGTGAATATCAGCACGGATTTAACCACGCGGTCCTTAATAAGATTCGCCTCTTTCGGCATCTTTGGCACCGTCTCAGGTACTAGGAACACTGTGTACAATAGGCTCAAAAGTAATATCACTACAATTCCTATAAATGGATAAAGAAAGCCAGAGATTTGGACAAGGTATCCTGTGCCAATATAGGCAAGGGCTTGGCCTACCCCCAGAACTGCAGTCATGATGACTAGTCGTATCGTCCTCCCATTTATGCTTGTAGTATCTGTGATATAGGCGTTGCAACCGGCCAATGCAGTTAAAAATGACCCGGTTGAACCACTGACAAAGGTTCCCACCAACAGTAAAGGCAAAGGCAGATGGAAAATAACAACTAAGGCGACAGTTAATGACCTGAACGTCTCTCCAATTATAGGAAGAATCAGACAAATTTTTCTGCCTTTTTTGTCACTATAAGAACCTAAAATCATTGTGGAAAATATTGCAGGCAATCCGTACGTAATCGTAATGTATATCATCCAATACGAAGTCTGTTGTTGAACCCGTTGTTCGTTCAGATACTCAACACTAGTTTCATTAACGTATTTGCATTGCGTATTATCATCGTTATTATTAACTAGTGTAATGTTCATTTCCTCGGCAAGTTCGGCGTAAATGTATTGCTGCATTAGTGGAGCACTCGCCAGTGCCCCGATCACTAAACAGAATAGCACCGGCTCCACGACAATAAGCCGTTGCTTTTTACGTTGCGTCACATCATCGGCCTTAGTGTCATCGTCTTTAATAGTACCACTGTCATAGTTTTTAGTCTCCTCTTTTAACGGCACATTGGAATTTGTATCAACTAGGAGCGGCGTCTTCTCGTCCGACATGATGGTATCAACTGTTACCTGCAACCAAGTACAACACAAATTAATAAAAACAGAACATCAAGTCTAGGGTCATTGTACGTATAATTTATGGGTTAGGTCAAAATGTAGGTATTTAGCAAACTGCTAACTCATTCCGTGTGTGTAGGTTTGCATGTGTGTCTCAAGGGAATGATCATGATTCACTACTTCTCATTGACAAGTGCATGTTATCGAACATACATTACCATCTACTATGTAGACAAAATACAATTCCTCCAGCAACTGATATTTCCAAGCAAAAGATTTAATTCCTGCTTTTTGGCTTCTTCACACCACCTCCACAAAATCTATCATATCGATAACTAGATATAAGCTCTGTTACAAAATTCCTTGATATTTCAATGGCACATTTTATTCTTTCAAACTCCCGAAATCTCTTATATTGAGACATTTTCAAGTGATGGAAAAATAGTTTTAATATTTCCAAGTATTTATGAACAACGACGATACCGACACAGATCTCAATATCACAATCAATAACTACACCATAGCTTCTCCATCAGGAGATATTGGGGATTTTCATCATGGCGTTACTTGTTAGTTCAATTTTTCCATACACAAATTTTTAACCCTGTAAAACATACACTGCTGTCTATTTTTACTGTTATTATTATAAACCCGGATATTACCTTTAAACTGTAAATCTTCGCATGCATTCGACGTGATTCATTTGATATTTGGCAATTTCTGTTTTCATGACCTTTTTAAGTACAGGTTGTAGTCCTATTTATTGAACCTTTACAAATGGAACTACTGGCACGTGTTTCTTAAACTTTCATCTTTATCGAATTTTGTCTTTATCTTTGTTTACAATGTTAAAACATGAATAAGTAGGTTACATTTAATCGGTTTATATCGTTAATATGTAGTATTAATGATAACGATTTCATTATGATTATTTCATCTTTAATTATAAACGTTTGTTACTTTTTGTCGTGTTTGTTTGCAGATATCGCATTTAAATGATGGACTCCCCATCCAAATGAACCCCCCCCCACCAAGTAACAATTTAAGCAAAACTATTATTTTATTACAATATCGACAAGGGAAAAGAGAATGCGTCGTTATCAGCTTAATTTTTGAGACAAGCGCATGAAAAGAAGACTTACCTAGGCCTGTTATTAGCAATTTTTGGACAACCCTCGTGCTCTCATTGAACTATAGATGAATATCGTAAACGACTGTATGTTCAGATGTTTGTGTTGAATTTTGATGCTCAAGCTTACAACTCTTTGTTGAATACTCCAAAGACACGTGTGTTAACGTGTATATCTTTTTCAATCTTCATATACACAACTCCACTGACTTGATCGTCAATGTCATGTCATCTCGATCGCGAGTGATACATTTAATACGACGTACAGCATCATACAACTCATTAATATCCAATGCAATGTTCATCCATAAAATATCGAAACAATTTTCAGAGAGCGATTTATTCAGTATTCGAACTTAATATACATGTATGTACGGTATATATGCATGTATGCTGGTCGTGTTTAATACTAACATAAATATTAGTGACTTCAGACTTATGAAAGCGTAATCAGGGTTTATGTAGCAAAGGTTGTACAAAGGTCGATGAAACTAAGTAGGAATTTCGTACAATGTAAATACAACGATTAATTATTATTAGAGTGCACATTTATAGTCGCAAAATAATACATGGTCAAACATCAAGGCCAGGACATGCAGGATGCATGTTCGGAATTTTGCTGCAACCCTCAATAGGGTCACATGTTATTTTTCAAATGTGAATCATCCCTTCCCCATAATGTCTACATCTCTTACCTTTGCACAATGAATGCACTAATGTATCTAGAAAAGAATGTAAAGAAGAAAGTTTTGATAAAATGTATAAAAAACAAGAAACTTCAGTGAAAAAATTCAGAAAATTTTCAGAATTTTTTTCACTGAATTTTCTCGTTTTTTATACATTTTACAAAACAATGGAATGCGGAAAAGTTCAGAACATGCACCCTGGCCTTAACATGTTGTCTGAAACGAGTACATGGCTGAGGCGAAGTCAATTTTTTAATATTATTAATCTAGGCTCTGTTATTATATCGAGTATGTCCTGTGCATGTAATTCCATACTTGGCACTTGCAGTGCTGTCGAAAAAGCCTTCCTTTCCTGGGGTTATCAGTTATATAAACACAATGAGCTACATGAAAGGTGTGAAGATGGCCAGGGACTATACTAAGCAACACTGAAAGTCCCCTTATTGATCATTTACTTAAAGCCTGTTTATGTTTGGGCATTTGAAAAATCATCAAAGTCATGAATTAAAATTAATTAATTAATTAAAATTCAAGCATCAATTGGCTTTTATATGCTATTCGAACATGACTGTATCCACGCCTTCTATTAACTGTAAACATAGTCAGCATTTCACCCGGGGTATATTCGCGAACAATACCTCTGGTAATACTGTAATACGGGTAATGTGTGACGTCATAACGGAGGGCTGTAGTAATGGTGGACCATAATGAACATTCGAAACATTTCGGTGAGTTTTCATGTTCGAATTGTAATATAGACCTCAGAGCATGTGTAATATCGTCGAATACATACCTAAGGGCAAGGCCCAACAGCTTTTGAACCCCTCACTCCCTTAGGTCGTTCGGCGTACAGAAAGCCCTAGCCTTGCGGGGTGTATTCGACAATATTACCCTGCTCTTCGGTCTATATTTCTTAATTCAATGAAGACTTCCGGTTGTTAAAATTATGAAGGGGAGTGTACCAATATCACGTGATAAACACATGACGTCATAGGTGTTGCTAAGTAATAACCATTTTGTTTCTAAAATTCGTTGAAGAGGACGTTTTTCTAATTTCTAAAATTTCAGTTGATTTTGTTTTATTATAATTTTATTTAATTTCAACTAAGTTGCGATGTCCTTTGACGCCGTTACACAAGAGCGGGCCAATGAGCCGGTGACGATCCAAGCGCACAGAAAAATTCGTTCAAGCATGAGAAAAAGCCTACAGAATATGATGGGACCGTTCATTTCGAAAACCAAATTCATTTCCAGCTTTTCGGATCCAAGCAATCCATTTGTCTTTCGTTTCGATCCCGAACACGATCTTTTCCACAACCACACAGTTAGTACAAGACGAAAAGAAAATGGCGATGACGTGGTGGAATTTGATCTGAAATCTTTCTTCCGTGATCCAAGTATGATGTGCGTGCATCAAAAATGCAGTCCGTGCCTTCATATTCCGACAGATCAAATTGAAGACTATGATATAATAAATCCCGACTATTGTTTGCCAGAGGTAAGGCTAATAATACCAAATAAAGACTGCTGGAAAAATTTGTCTTTTTAAGAAATGGGCGTCAATTTTGAAAAATGGGTGCATATCTTTAAAAGGCCCAACAAGTTTTGGGCCAATATCTTCTCAGCAAAAATATTTTTGCCACCTTCTCTTGTCAATTTTCAAATCTGATAAGTAAACTTAAAACACTTGGGTTGTAAGAATAGTTGGACAAGAGTCAGAACACTTGAGTAGCCAAGAATCCGTCACTGAAACTGCTTTCCAAACAGAGACCTTAGTGAAAATTCTTGATGTTTCTCACATTTTAACAAAATTATATTTTTAAACAATTCAGTTTGGCCACACCAGTCTGATGTACAGCTCGAGGAATGACGAAGTGGACATCGTCAAAAAACTTTTGGAGAGTGGTGCCGATCCTGATCTCCAAGACAAGGTAAACTCATACTAAACAATCCTTTTGTTACCGATATTTTTATCTGTCATTAATTCCTTGATGATCTAAAAACAGATAACTCAGTTGCCATTCTCTCACAAACCTTTGTGTAATGTTCAAATATACAAAACGTTCAATCATCCTTAATGTTATTTACCTTGCAATTTTTAGAATGGAAACACTGCACTGATGGAGGCAGTAGCAGCGTCCAACACAGAATGTACTCGTGAGTTGCTAAAACACGTCGACCATTACCGAGTCAACAGTTTGGTGAATAAGGTATAAGTATTTCATTTTTATACAGATTTCTTATTATCACTTTACATTCCATATGCGTTGTCACGTGTGTGTGTGTGGGAATTTTTTGGCGCAGGGTTAGCCTAATGGACCACTTAAATACCATGTATGACAAATATTTAAGTTTAATGTTGGTCGGTTGTCAATGAATTAGGCTCGGTGGTCAATGGATTAGGCTCGGTGGTCAATGGATTAGGGTAGATACCGCATCATGTCATATATTATGATGTTATATAATGGTTGATTCAGTATCGTGTTTATACTCAAGTGAGTATATGATAAAATCTTCAATCAATAAAAGGTTAATCTAAATTGTATAGTTGAATTCTTACGATCCCCAATCCAATCCGGATAAATTTTATCTTTTGGGATAAATCTTGGATTACTAATCCGATTAATATTTGGTGAATTCGCACGATCCGAGGATTATGAGGGGGAATCCCCAAGATTTATCCAATTTGCATTGGAATTCGGATAAAATTTATCCAAAAAGTAGAGATTAATCCCAGGATCGTACGAATTAAATTTCGGATTAATTCTTTGATTAATCCCACAATGCATCATTACCATGACGAAATTTATCCGGATCGGATCGCGGATCGTACGAATTCACCGCCCCAGGAGTTGTATACGCTATCCAGGAGTTGTATATCGTTCTCAAGAGCTGTACACGATGAGTGTTGGTTTTATACTGCAGTTATACAATGCTATTATAATCATATAAATCATTTAGAGTGGGATAATAAATCATATCATGTATTGGTTATATAACAACAAATTGCAAGAGCACTCGACTCATTAATCAAACAAACAAGAGACATATTATAATAACATGTCTCTGAACAAACGAACAAACAAATTTAGCTCTTTTCAAAACCACATTTCTAAATGTAATTTTATGGTAAAACTTTATGGATATTTTCAAGGATGGGTTTACAGCGTTGATCTGTGCAGCGGGTGTTGGAGATATCGACACAGTGAGATTTTTGAGTGCAATCGAACTCAAGAATCAATCAACAGAGAATGCGCACACTCGAAACCTCCAGACAAAGGTATGTGAATATATTTCAAAATTATGTCCCGATCATTAAACACCCCTCAAACGTTTTGACAACCAGAAGTTCGCTTTTGGATCACGTGTTAAAGCTTATTCTGTTTTGTTAATTTTGACTTTAAGTGGTAAAAATTTATACCTACAAAAACGGAACAAAATGTAAATAAGCTTTAACAAGTTTAATACGTTACCCAATGAGACTATGTGGTCCCAGAAAGTATGAATTCGAGGAGGTTGCAAATCCGGGGTTATTGATAATTGTCCTATGCCAAGTAAAGTTTTAGGGAGATAAGTTGGTAAGATATATCCCGTATCCTGATTTTGAGGTTTCCATATCCAGAACCTCCATATCTCCCGCCATATCTCCCGCTTCGGTATATATCTTCCCGCTTCGGTGCATATCGGTCGGTTTGGATATTTGGTTCCCCTCGTGAGATATGGACATCTACCTTCGGTCCCTACGGTCCCTCAGGTAGATATGCATATCTCCCTCTGGATAAACCCCATATCCAAAACCTCCCAGTACATAACCCTTATTTATCCAATGTAGTCTGTCCTTAAAATAACGTGGAGCTAAAATTTTAGGTATAGGGGTTTGATAGTAGTTTTTTCTAATTATTCTAATTATGTTGCATTTTTTGCTTCTATACAGGCGGGACAAAGTGCGTTAATGATGGCGGCCTCAAATGGATATTTAGATGTTGTTCAGTTCTTGGTAGAAGAACTTAAAGTTGATGTACTGGTTAAAGATGAGGTAAGGACAGATACACAAACGTATGAACTAGATAGTATGTTCGCTTCGCTCGGCAAGATGAGAAGTATAAACTCAGTAAGCCTGATAGCATGTATTCGCAAAAGACAATCAAAATGGAATGAAGTGTAATGCGGCAATGAAATAAATGTAAAGAATATAAAATAATTAAGATGACTGACCTAAATATTACGCAAGAATGCATATTCTTGGAAAGTTCAAAATGGCTATAGAGTTTTTTACTATTTCACTTTTTAGAATGGTATGTTTGCCTATTGTTGGGCTCAACTGATGGGCCATTGGAAAATAGCAGACTTTCTCTTATCTACAATGATTCTAAGGCAGAAATTACCTCAATATCTCAAGGTTCGTATTACACATATGTATACGTGTGATCAATACGTTTCAGCTTCCGAATATCTAGAATAACACTGTACAGTCCTGTGCTCGTTACAAAATTGATCAAATAGTGGTTCTAGAATAGAAAACCAGTTTAGCTCAAATGAGGCAAGAAATTGTTAAAGAGGCTCTATGCCATAGGATAGCACAATCAAGACCCCTCTGGACTTTTTTGCATATTGAGTTTCACCACATTTTTACCCATCTACTTACCAAAGAAGAAGTCACAAATCCCCCTCTTTCAGTGTTAATTTTAGTATTGTGCTGGCCGAGCTAATTATTTTCGAAGGAATTAATTCAATCTGAAGTTTGAATATACTGGGAAAGTCCTCCTGTTATCTGATTGGTCGTTGAATTTGTTTATCATAAACCTGATTGGCTGCCTGGCTCTAAGGCGGTTGTGTGACTCAAAGGGGATTCCCCTCGCTAGCCGAGAAATCGATTGTGTTTAATTCTGGAGTTTGGTTGTTCTGTTGATTATTTCCGATATTTCGGCAATAATATACCCACAAGTTATTCTCAAGATATATCCATGGTATGTGAGATTTTATATGAGCAATAACAATAGGACATCATTGATTGTCTGGGGGAGAGACCTATGGCGGAATGCATCTTTAAAATGACAATTTGCATAATACAAGTGCTGTGTACTTTTAGGTGAAGTTTAAATCGTGGAAAATGAAACCGCAAGAAAAATACAAAACATCGATACAGCATCGATCGTGTATACTTTGCATAGCACCTCTGGCAACCTTCACTAAAGAAGACATGGGATTTGGTTACCGAACTGGATTCGATGTCACCCAAAACAAAAACTTTTGGCAAATGTACGCCTCCCGTTTCTTCGACTATTCAACGTTTGGTTCTTACGAAGATTGTACAGCGTGGATGGATTTGCTGTTCTATGGATTCCTCGCAAAGAAAACAAAAATCATCGATCGTTTTCTGAATTGTAATGAAATGATGCTATGCTTGATGGAGTTCTTTCAAAGAGTCAATGGGGCAATCACTGGTGTTTTCCTTTTGGACTATAATTGGGACGTCACCACATCTATAGCTATTCTAATCTGCTTGGCCAGTACACCAGCTGGAGTGGAGTGGGTGCGGCTGAATGTATCCGATTTGGACAATATCTGGAGATTCGCGGACGCCGGAAATCTTCTCCGTCACTGCGATAGGTCATCATCAACTGAATCAAAACTTCTATTGAAGGAGAAAGTCAAGAAAATAAAACAGAAATCGAGAAAGAAACGTCTAGTGAAAGGAAAAGAATATGAAACGAACGAAGAATCTATACATAACACCAACGAAGATGACTCCCAAGGTAATACTAGCGATGAAAAAAGCGTCGTAGAAAATAAAGACACACCCTTTGCCTTTACCCATCTCACTGAATATTTCTCGTGTGTATCAAAAAACGTGAAACTTAGATTCATAGAAGATAATTCGAGTTTTATACCAGAAGAATCTCTGAACAATCTGAAACGTATATTCACCGCACACTATGATATGATATCGCAGAAACGTATGGACGCTTTGCTTGAAGCTGAAATGAAAGAGAAGCAAGCAGCTGAAGCTAAACTGCAAGAGAAACGTTTGAAGAGGATAAGACAGAAGGTCAATAGGCGAATGTCTCGTGAGACAGACACCAAAGATATCAGTCAACAGCAAATGGTATCCAACGCAACTGAAAAAACACCGAACTCTCGGGAAGAAGCAATCATAAAGGATATAGCCCCAATCGATATCTTCCAACCTAACAAAGGTTTGGGGGACATGGACACGGTGGCTGGACTTTATCATCTCAACGCTAGTGCCGAAGAAAATCTCATTTCTAGCTCCGAACAAGTAACACCAGGTAGAGAAGATTTTAAGACACATACTAATAGGAAGGACCGAAGAAAACGTCAGATTAATGAGGAAAAAGATATGCCAATCTGTCCTAATGACCGTCATTCAGCGAAAATGAGACAAACAGACCAAAATAGAAATAGACCTGTGATAGCTCCTTTGAGACTTTATCTTCCTCCCCCAGTCCCCAGAGATTCAAAAGTCACAAGCGACTGTTCCAATTGGCGGAATGCAGTTTGGCCGAAACCATCACCTCAATCGGAGCATGTGCCCTCGCCTTATCCCAATTCGCGAGCCAGTCGGACGGCATCCTGTGACAAAGACAATGGACAAACTGGTGCAAGCTACAATAGTAAAGGTCGTGAAAATGATGTTACTGGTTCTAATAGAGAAAGGAAATCCGTAGCAGCTGCGATATTTGACTCACCGTTATCTTCGTGCAACCAACATGGGTCGCTTGATAGAGGAACCATTGTAGAACAGTTTAGCTCTTCGGTAGATGGTGGTTCAGTTACAGGGCTGTCAAAACCAATAGCGAAGATAAAAACCCATAGGCCTACACAAAATAAAATACAACCCCGTATGGAAAGTGGTGATGAGTCGGAAGAGGAAAACGATCGAGTGGCCTATGGTGCCATTAGAACATATGATGATCGAGAGCAGAGACAAATAGATGCAACAAAACCAATTAACATCCATGTTCAGAATTCGTACGACCTTGGTGAATTTATAATAGCAAATATAGGAAAAGAAATCAAAGATTACTTTGAAAATATGCATCAAGACAAAGTCTTAACATTCAAAAATACAGAGGCTTATAATCTTCAGCAAGATCTACCATTGGACCACCTCTTATTCACGAAACAAATTAATGATTTTCAAAATCCTAGGAAAAACCGAGAAATTGAAATTGCCCTGAAGAAAATGTTAAAACTGGAAGAAAAACTGCCTGGTTACACGAAACATGGTGGTCTGTATCCCGGAGTAAATGCTCATAGTTGAAATCAACTCTCATAATATAATTTTGATTGTACTTTAGTATGTTTTTATATCTTTATTCTCATTTAAACACTGGTGATCCACTCGATTACGCTTGTTACCGAAACGGGTCGTTTTGGTAACAAAATGTCGGAACGTCGAAGGTACGATTTTTCTTTTTTCCTTATTTCACGCGTTGTAGGCAGAATCCCTACGACGTTTTTTCTCGCAAACGTGTATCAGTATCATGTTTTTTAGAAAAAGTTCATGTTTGCGAAAAAATAGCTCAGAAGACAACAGAATCGTCGATTTAATTCCTCACTTAAGTTACATTTCCGACTTGGGTTAAAAGTGCAGATCTTAACTGTTTTACGAAAAACCGTTTATGTAACTTAAGTGAAGAATTAAATCGACGATTCTGTTGTCTTCTGGACTATTTGTTCGCACATATGTACATTTTCTTAAACATGATACTGATACACGTTTGTGTTGAAAAAATGTCGTGGGAATTCTGCCTACAACGTGTGAAATAAGGAAAAGAGAAAAATCGTACCTTCGACGTTCTGACATTTTGTTACCAAAACGAACCGTTTGGATAACCAGCGTAATCGAGTGGATCACCAGTGTTAAAGAAAATCAATCACACGCAATAATTTACAAGAATGTATGATCTAAGATATTCGTAATTGATTATTGATTCAAATCCAGAACTCGTGACACGTACACACTGTTTTGCTTTAATAAGAAGTTTAAAACGTACGTAAACATCAGAAGTCAGAACCTTTATAAACGACATGTTTGTGTCTACTAAGAAAACACAAAATATAAACTGCAAAAACATGATAAATAAAGTACAATTTACTCAATATAGGTGTTAAAACGTTTTTTTGACATAAACACTTCACATTGCATTTGTTTTAAAAACATTGTGCCACCTCAAGAATTTATGTTAAATAATATGATTGAGATAAGGTATTTGCGTTCTCTAAACTTTGCTAAGTTAGAACGTACTTGCAAGGTCAAGAAAATCTTTAGTCTAGGCAAACATGTCTGCTTCCCAACCGCTGATGGACTGTTTCCGAATAAATGATTGGCCGGTTATTGTTAATTGTATTTGATTGAATTATTTAAGAAATATTGACAGAAGAGCAGGGGTAATATTGTCGAATACACCCCGCAGGGCTAGGCACAAATGTTTTCTGTATCCCGTGCGCGTTCATCTTCGACCAATTTACAAAATTCAAATATGTTCGCTAGTAAGCGAGTCAGTCGGTGGGCATCATGTGACAAAGACAATGGACAAATTAATGCAAGCTACGATCTTAAATATTATGTTATTCAATCTACTGACCAGTGATGAGTCGACTCATCACCAGTAGATTGAATAACATCAGTGCTGTTAGGACAACGGATAATGATCACGAAATACAAACAGATGCAACAAAACCAATCAATATTCATGTTCAGAATTCTTGCGATCTGGGTGAGTTCATAACAGCAAACATAGGAAAAGAAATCAAAGATTACTTTGAAAATATGCATGAACATAAAGTTTTGACATTCAAAAACACAGAGGCGTATAATCTTCAACAACAGGATCTAACGTTGGATGCTTTAATTTCTTATTCACGAAGCAAATGAACAGTTTTCAATATCTTATGACATATATAACCGAGATATTATTGGTAAAATAGGTGTTAAAACGTTTTTTGGCATAAACACTTCTCGTTGAATTTGTTTTAAATGTCGGCCCGGGGTCCGTTTTAATTGATGTTTTATGTAAAGTTATACCCAAGACACTATAATAAATTTTACAATTACAATTACAATTACAACATTGTGCCACCTCAAGAACTAATGTTTAACAATTTACAATACTGTATTGTTACAGATATTTTTGTTCTCTAAGCTTGTATTCGCGAATGCAACTTTCTGCTATCGGCTACCGGAGTATTCTATTAACTTTCATTAATGAACCCGTCAATTAGCGAATTTACAAATCAGCTTCCGGAATACACGACAGCTAGTATTACTACTTAAATGAGTTTGACATCAAATTGCAATCAATCCACTAGCCGGTAGCCGTTTGACAAAGCTTCTTCCTTAGCTTTGTTATTTTTTAGCTAAGCTCTGCACACATGGTAGTCATGTAAAGAGAGTCGCAGATGGATTAGTTGGTTTAACTTTTTAACGTTTAAAATTTAGTATATCACCAATTTCAACAAAACATATAGTAGTTTATAGTCATCAATATCCTACTTAATTATATTTTCATGATTAATCAGATCAGACCGTTTGCCAATATTCCCTTCACAATCCCAATCGTAATCTGAAACAATAAATCGAGATCTCTGATAAAAAAAATTTTTGTAAAACATTTCTGATTTTATTGCAGAACATATTTTTATTTGATTTTAATTAAAATAATATTCTGCAATAAACTCAGCAGAAATGGGCGGGACATATCATTGTTCTGTTAATCTGTAGAGCAAAGGATACCGAGAAATACCCCCAACACATCTCTAAATTGCAAAATATAAAAGTGGAAAACATAATTTTTGCTGCAATTAATTGTATTGTATTGTATTGGTTTCGCGTACTTCAATGAATCCTTGCGGAAATACTCCAATTCCAAGAATCAGTGATATCGAGATCAGACATTCAAAAGGAAATCAAAATAATTGAAAAATAGTATGACAAATATTGAATACTGAATTCTTTGTATTTACTTTGAAACATCACAATAAAAACTCCCGTACAATTGATTAACCAGCACAATATACATTTCACTTTGCTTAGACTTACTTTGCACTTATATAGTCCAGTCTTTTCAATGAAAAATTTACTAAAAACGAAATTGAAAATTCTAATGACTTATTGAACAATAAGATTTATCACAAATCAAAGTTGCGTCAAATCTATTTGAAAAGATATGGCTGAGATGCTCTGAGGTGGGAGTAAAAGAGGAACATAGGTTCCCAGTAGAGATAAGGTGGTATAATTGCACCATTGGGGACCATCATTCCATGCGGTAATATTGGATTCAGTCCTGTGTGCGCATGCGTGAACATTAACGGATGTGGATGAGGAAGGGCCCTACTCGCTGCATTCATCCGGAACGGATTTGGAACGACGTCCGTGTTTGTCTCAAACTTGCGATTCCGATGGGTGGGGTGGCTATTTAGCGCATCTGTAGAGTCTCTAATTCGAAGAACTTTGTTTTCTGGTTCATGATTCGTTGCGTCCCCAAGTAAACTCTCAATACTGAATGGTCCGTTGAATTTATTGTCCATATGGGAACTATCGGCGTTCCTTCCAGAAGTGTCGCACGTCGAACACCCCGCGGCGTACGGTGATCTTGCTCGTCGATTTAAACGTTTACGGCGACGTCGGAAAATGCCATCCGCGAACGTGTAATCGCTGTTCGGGTTGATCATCCAATAGTTGTCTTTTCCCCAAGGTCGTCCAGGATCACGTAGTACCTTCGTGAAACACTCGTTCAGCGACAAATTGTGCCGAATGGAATTACGCCAACCTGTATATGCACCTCGGAAAAAGTCGAACTTTTTCATGAGATAGTCGTTGATTTCTGAAAGTGTTAATCTTTTCTTAGGTGAGTCTTCAATCGCCATAGCAATGAGTGCGATGTACGAATATGGGGGTTTTGGACGACGGAAGTACCCTTTTTTCGGCTCAGTTCCAGAGTCTTTGCGCATGCGTGCTCTCTTACGCACTGCGTCATCAAACACGGGGTTCCTGTGGACGGGCGATCTCTGAAGAACTCCAGCTTTCGTTTCTACAGGAATAGGCCTATTCGATTCATCGTCTTCTTTATCGTCATTCATTTGATAATTGTCACCATCATCCAATACAATGGCATTCTTGCGTTTGTCAAAATCATTGTCTCGTTGCGTTCTTTCACTTTCTTGCGACTTTGCGAAGAATCTCTTAACTTCAGTCGACGTTGAGTCTTTGCTTCTGTTGATATCTTCCAATATTTCCATATTTCTTAACCTCCGTTGGTCCTATCTTTATGATCAGAACTGAATTCTGCCTTGAACATTCGGTTTAGATAATTAATTTAATTAATTGATTTTAATACTCATTTTTATTAATCTAATTTAATATCTGCGACTTTATCAACTATGCAGTTTAACAATAACCAAATCTAAGACGAGGAAGTCTTTTATATAGTACTATCCACTTATAAACTTTATACCCGTCCACGACTTCTAAATAATTCAAATTGTTCTCTGATGGCTTACCCTCTTCAAAACGCCAGTGAATTTTTATAAGAGTTTTTGATGTAATAGAAAAAATGATGGATTCATCCTTACAATCCTTCCAGGGGGTCGATCCCTCGCAATTGAAATATTCGGGGTTCACACTTTGCAAAATCGTTCCAGTAAACTGAAATCGACCAAACTTTATTAAAATGCATTTTAGTCAATCCGACCAGTAACAATACGTGCACATGTTTCTAGGATGATTTAACCCTAGAAAACCTCAAATTAACAAACTGAGACTTTTGTTTTAAATCTGTCTAAAGGTCTTGGTTGTTTAGGGCAATTGTAACCACATTACCATATGACAATATTGACTTGTTATATCTATACACTTTCCACTAGAAATATAACCAGATAAAAGAATGTTTAACGTTTTCAATAACTCCAATTGTAAGTGCATCTAGTGAATAAAGTCGATTAATTATCTGGGGAATTTGTATTTTAATCGACTGTCGAAATTTATACAAACTGTAAAACACTTCAAACTATTTTCTACTGTTTCAAATATCCCGCTTTGTAAACACTTAAAATGTAAAAGACGGATGACATTATTTAAGAAGCATTATGATCACAATTTGGGATAATACAATTATTTAGAACAGTTTCTTTTTCTTGGTTTCAAAAATCACTTTGATTGTTTTTCACTTTTGTTCTCGTTTTTCAAAAGCGATCTTATTTCCTTGACACGCAATCAACTCCTAGTTCATAGTTCCACGAATATACACTCCCCTCCATAAGTTTGAAAACTGGAAACCCCTCCCCCTGGATCACCTATCAAAGCGTGTCTGATGATTTTTAGTCCCCAAACATAAATTCAAGTTTTCATATTTGAACTATTGTAATAGCGGAACAAAAATAAGATTCAAGCATCAACATGCTTTTATATACTTTCTAAGAAAACGTCCTGTTGCCAAACTTATGGAGGGGAGTGTAGCCTAAACGTCGAAGTCAAAGTTACAATAAACGATTATTTTACCAGTCAGAATAAATATGTACAATGAAGTATGACAAATTGTTTTTAAACAACTTGACAATGTTTGATAATTTAAGAGATATATCATATTTCATATAAGCTAACCCATAAATCACACGTCCTGTCAAAACCCCGTCGATGCCCCTATACATGTAATGTAACTTACAGGACAAGAGCCAATACTCAAAATGTCGTCTGCTCGTGCTTATTTCATTCAATTTCTCTATAAAATTTGACTGAAGCGTCTGATTTTCTTGCATTTTTATACAATTTAGAGTGTCAGCTCCACGCCTGTCTATTTGATTTTTACTGGGGTAATTGTTTAGTTCGGTTTTGAAGTAAATTCTTAACACAATTGGAATTTATCGAATGGATGCCGACATTTGTACCGATTTAGCATTCATAAATTACTATTGATATCTGCTGGCTTAGAAATATGTCTGGTTGTGTTTCGTGTTTTGCAAATATTGCCATTTTCGTTTTCTTGCATGAATTTTAAAACATGAACAAAACTAAAGTTTAAAAGTTAGAACTTAAAACGTTTGTACAATTTAAACCAAACGATGTAATTTCAATCCTAGTATTTTTCATTGACAGTGACGTTTCAATAAACAAAAGAGGCCTTTTTCCGATTTCAGTAGCCGTGATCCAAAGTCGAAAGTAGGCGAGGCAAATATTAGGAGAGGAAAATTTCATCATGAAGCACGTTCGTCTGTCTCTTTCTCGCTGTTGTCTCTCTGTCCGAACATCTAGACCGTTTAACCTTGGGTCACTATACTTGGTCAACATATACCAATGTTTCCATAGTATGTGCCATATACCATTTTTAAGCTTTTCCAAAGTTATATTGATTTGCCAAGTATCATGGTTCAACTCACAAATGGTAATTACAAAAAAAGTTACAGGCATTTTAAAACTTATATTAGTGTTTCTTATTGTGCATCTTTATTCTCTTCCATGTTTCACATAGAAGATTTTACCACAGTTGAAAATTCTATTCCAGAATTAGGGGTTGCATCTATTTTGTCAACCTGTACATAAAACTAGTATATGTTCTGTGATCATATTCAAATATGTGATTGAGTGATGTGACGAAAACAATATAGGCTAAATATCAATTAATGGACAATAGCAATTCCATTTGATTTAGCCTCATCTGAAAAAAATTCACCATCATGCTACTGTCTACCTACTATTTGTATGCGTATCTCAATGTTTGTCATTTCAAATTTATTGTATGATTGCTTATGTGAGTTATCCATATCACTTCTCACTGTCCATGATTTATTTCTTCGTGGCCCATTAAAGATAACAACGTACAATAATACAATTAGAAAAATAATGAAGGCAACACCAAGCAATGTGGATAGACAAATGATGACCATATCACGATCACTAATTTGCCTACTTTCAAAAGGTTCTGAAATGTTTTCTAATTTGTTGGTTGTTGGTGTTAAAGGTAGGGTTGTTGTGATAAAAGGTGAAGTAGTTGCTATGGTATTTGTAGTCACAGTAGTAGCTATTGTTGTAGGAACAGTTGTCACCTTTTCCGTTGTCGGAGCAACCGTTGTTGTGGTGGTTGTCGTTGTTGTAGTTAGCCACTGTGTATTGATATAATGGTGAACTGTTTGATTTTGCCACTCTATAGGGGTATTACAGCGATATCCATCTGGCCATTGTTGAACTACAGACCTTCCAGTGTCGTTTGCAAATACAGTGAAGTCCACGAGTCTTCCATCACACGTGTATGGATTCTTGCTACCGTCAAAAAAGCTCCACTTCCGTAAACAATCCGTAGTTTTGGAATCTATGCTGTTGAACTTATTATTTGATATATCAACTTTCTGTATGTTTGGATTGCTACATAGTGCATCAGGGATTGTTTGGAGATTATTCCCTTGAACCTGGATTTCATTTAGGCGGGTACAACCGTCAAATGCATCGGGAGCGATGTTTCTGATTCGGTTATTGTCTGCAACTATTTTAATGAAGTCATGTCCTTTGAATGACGCTGTCAATTCCGTCAGCCGGCAGTTGGTGAGATGTACTTCAGACATGCTTGACTGGTTTTTAAAGACGGTGTCTGACAGGAGAGTTAAAGGATTGTTGTTCAAATATAGTATAGACAAAGTATAGAGTCCATAAAGTTCTTGACCTCTTAAACTGGAAAACTGGCAATCGCTCAGATCCAATGTTTCAATATCAGACATGCCACGAAAAGAGTTACCAGCAATGGAGAAAAGAGGGTTTCTACTAAGATTCAAATATTTTAAACCCGTAAGTCCGACGAATTCGAAATAAATTGTGATCCGTTCAATTTTGTTCCGACTTAAATCAAGGTGTCGGATGGATTTCATTGGATAAAATGAGTACGCATCAATAGTTGAAATCAAATTTCGAGACAAGTCCATGTTATATAAAGATTGTAGATCCACAGCTTTGTCTTTTAAAAAATTTGTTACACGCTCCAAGGCGCACCCAGCTAACGATAATGTCTCCAGTTGCTGCATGTTCAAAAATGCATCGTTATCAATATGAGCTAAGTTGGTATTGTTTTCTATATGAAGTTCTTTTAGGCGCCTAAATCCATCGAAAGCACTTTTAGGCAAGCTTTTAATATCGCAGCCTGAGATGTCAAGAAACTGTAAATTGAAAATAGGTTTGAAAGTGTCCTGCGTAATGTTTACAAATGTTGGATTCCCTTTCACTGACAATTTAGACAGTCTCTTGCCAGCAAGAGTTGATGAAAATTGACGTAATGTTTCCTCCGTAAAACGATTGCCGTCAATTGTTACATGATCGGGGTTGCAGTTATCAAGTGCCTCAGCAGATATAGAAACCAATTCGTTATCCGAAAGGTCTAAAACATCTAACTCGGTTAGTCCAGCTAAACCACGTTGTTCAATAGTAACCATCCCATTACTACGTGCACTCAAAGTTTTCAATTGTTGAAGATACGAAAATGAGTTGTCCCTGATTGTATTAATATTGTTGTAATCGAGATATAGTTCTGTGGTTAATGGGTCCAGATCAACTGGAACCGAACTCAATCCCAAACTGCTACAGTTCGTAATTCTTTCAGCGCCATCAACAGTCGTGGTACATTGTGACGTCGATGGCGTTTGGGCAGATACGCCCACTACGCAAGACAGTATGAGATAGATGAGGTATATTGATAACAGAGTAGGCCAGCTACTTCTTACTTTCCTGTGGTGGAACTGTATCGACGATGACATGGTTGAGTCAACTTCTCGACTGAAGGGCTTCATTAGTGTGATCGACGGTCATGGGCCGTGTGTATGCGGTAATATGATGGCTGGACGCCCGGGCTGGATGTCGCTTAAGTTGTCTTGCAGCCTGGTTTGTAGCTAGATTAGCAGAGATTTCATTGTCGTCCTTCTCCAACTATATAATGTCTAAAATTATTGAAATTCATAAGATATATTTGTTAGGCTATACGTTGCAAATAATTGAGGAATTAAGGATTGATTACTTATGACAAATGAAGAAAAACAATCGTATTTATATCAAGCCGCCGAAACATATTAAAAAGTGTTTATCCGCTGGTGATAAAACACTGGCTATGAATAATGTTTCTCTATTACGAAAATCTATGATTAAACCTTACCTTTACGTTATAAGAGTATCGTCCGATTTGCGTTTTTCGTTAAAATACATTGAGATAATTGTCTTAAGACTCCACGCCCTCCTTCTGTTGTATTTCACGAAGTACGAGTTCAAGTGTATTTTTTGATAAGAAATAGTATAAGTTATTGAATATAAGAGATTGTATATTATTAACAACCTACGAGTGTTATCTTGTAAACATAAAAAAATATAACACTGTCTGTAATTTGAATTCAAGTTTTAGATCATAAAACAATGTGACAACTTTGACAAATATGTGGTTTGAGGATTCGAATGTTATCTAAAAATGTTTATGGTTGTAAATAAAAAAGTTATGTTATTGCACGTACTCGGAATATCCATAATATTAATATTTAATATTATTGTTTCACTGTAATATTCCTCATCTCAATAGTGTAATATTTATGGTATTTTTTATGAAAATTCACCGTTCTGAATCCGGATCATGAGAAAAAAACTCAACTTTATTTTCTAACTGACTTTGAGCCAATTATAATATCCAACTTGCCTAAGAAGTAGGTTTAAATCAAAAAATCAAAAGTTCCTCCCGAACTCGACGACAGTATGGTCCTCCATCTTGTTACCTTGACGTTACATTAGGTAGGGAACGGTGAATTACCGTCAGGCTTGACACTGATTTATTGCATTCAATAAAAAATCAGTATTCTTCGTATTATATAGATGTCAGTCGTGGTACTCTAAAAGTTACATAGATAGTAAAACCTGTACGTGTATATCCGAACACCTCTCTAATTCTAACACCTCTTATTAACATTTTTTCTCAATTCCAAACTATTATCAAATCAAATTATCGAAACAGTCAAAAATATTTTCGATTTGTCAAATTTCCATCTCCGTGTAAATTCAGGATTTGTTTTCAATGTCAAACGAAAGATGGCGATGTTTATAGATTACCTGATTTTTTGTCTACTTGGGTCGACCCTATACGCCATCTTTACATTCAATAGTAATTCAAAAACACTTTGGTGAATAGCTTTGACCTTTGAAGGGTCCCTGAACTTCTCATACTGTCTTCCAAGTTATTTTGCCTCCTTCAATATTCGCAAAAAAGCTTTGTAAAGTGTTGTGTGAGTATTCTGAGAAAACACGTTAACATTTGGCATCATGAACACATTTGATAAATAATCTTATCTTCTCTACGATTATTCAAGAAAGAATTACCGCAACATCCATGTTTTAGTTTTCATTTTATATATGATATACCTCCGAATTGTGATCCATATAAGAATGAATCAACTCTTAAAGATATTTCTAAATTGTGTCAATACTGTCTATGATGATTTATCCCGACCTTTCCCATGTTTACAGAAAATATAAAATCCTTGCAAATCGAAAAGAATGAAATAACTTTAAAATCAAAGTTCATCTGGTACTACCCTTTGCATTCGTTTGACTTCACTTCTTAAAAGAGAGCTTCTAGTTTAACTAGACTCTGCACGCAGGGTATCTGGTTATGCACAGAATTCAAATATATCATCAACAGTATGAAATGTAAGTCTTTATTATCAATTAGGGATTAAATAATGCTTCGGTGAGATTTCAAAATGTTCCAAAGCATCTATTATTTATCGTTTAAAGACCCACATATCTTAAACGTCGGCGAGGCAAAATACGACCAAGGGGGAAGGGCATTGCAGAGTTCGTATTGAAGAACGGGTTCCCATTATGATTGTTTGGCACGATAACTTTAATTATAACAATTAACATATATCTGATCTTTAAAAATAAGATTTTCCTAAAATAACACGTGTCAAAAATCGAGATAGTAAGACATGACACTTTGAGAAGATAAAAAGATGCACTGATAACATTCCTTTGTGAATTTTGCGCAGTGTAACTAGCATTTTTATTGACCAATTCCACTGCTCCTGTGATTTAAAAATGCGGGGGATCCCCGGGATACTTCCAAGGGGGGGGGGGGGGGGGGGCGGGGTGCATCTACATCTAAAAAACTTCAAAAAACGGTCTTCATCATTATAGTTTGCTCTTGAAATTCTAGCTTCTCCACTTCTTTTGCCAGAGTACATCGGTCTTCTTTCCCCTGAGTCTCGGCACCGTCGACAAAATCCCCGATACAAATAAGATTGCCTCAAAATGTGCGGTCGCACCCAACACACCTCTCCCCCTAGCTGCGCCAATGAAATGGAAAATAATATTTCCAGTTCTACAACTTCGTGACGAGTAGTGAATCTGCTTCAAATAACATAGAGGCTTTTCGTATATAAAAAAGTGTGTATTACTTTCAAATAAGTACAACTTTTAGGCTTTACTTTTTGGATATGGTTCAAATAATTAAAAGAACGTCTGCTTTATTAGCCATTGGCATTGTGCACGCCTAATTACTTGTAATATCATAATAGAAGATGGCGATATTACAATAATTTTACAGTTATCAAGTGACACATTTATCTTACGCCTCAAGATGTTAAACTATGAACAATTATTTTACGATCAGACTTGCTTCAATCACCTGTATTTATAGGGGACCTGTTGGTTTTTAAGAAGATTCATGGTTTTGAAAAAATCTTTTCGGTTTGTGCTAAAGATTAAATTGTGAAAACTGAAAGTATCGGTCCAAAATTTTATTAGATGTAGAAATAGGTATCAGTTTGAAAACTCTATTTTTGCATACGTAGTAAAGATTCTATGCAGGACGATACAATGAACCTCATAGGTCAGACCTGTCATCCCTTATCTTATGCAAAAAGAACCAAAAACGTACTATTATTTCATGACACCTACCCGTAGGATCTTAATCTAACTTTCGGGGACCATAGTATATTATAAAGGTGAACGTTTACCATGGGAATATTGGCCTTTCGAGAATATATAGATGCCAAATGTTTAATATGATGGAAAATAATATTTCATGAACCATTTTCTCCGTCAACTTGGGTGTTTGACAAGATGCTTTTAAGATCCTATGATAATTTTACAATCGTATTTTAATCGTTGAATCGAATATCTGAACTGGACAGATCACGATTCAGAATTACAAGTTTGTAAAATATCTTTTGTTGTTATTTTGTGATTGGTTTGGCAGCAAACAATATTGTTTGTTGTTATACTTCTTTAATGTATTTCCAAGGAAAAACAACAGCAAACATTTCAAAATTACGTTACAAACTTGAACTAATCCGTATGTTTTAAGTGGAATTCGTGTCATTGTTTTTAACTTACATCGTTGGTCATAAATGACTTCGTTTGTAATTCCATTGTTTGTAGTTGCAAAGAAAACGATGGTGCATGAAAACAAACAACTAACACTCAGGTTTGTTGTTGTCTAGCTTCACGTCGTGTGTTATTAATATTTGTAAGTTGTTTGTTTTTCCTATTATTGTTTTGTTTTTGTTGTGTTTGTAACCGCCCTATTTCTTTTGATGTACCGATTGTTTGCTAATAAAAGCACGACAGAGAAAGGCGATAATTACCCACCGAGTAATAATTGTGACCAAACATTATTTCCGGAATTAAATATGACAATGTTTGTTTGTCAACAATTTTAGATACACTTGTTTTTTGATAACCGCATCTGATTCTTTCTGTTTATACAAAATTGACATTACCGTTTTTGACTGGAAAAATGACCAGGAAAAACAATGCGAATGTTGCGTTTTTTCAATTTTCTTTCAATAGGGCATTTAGATCTATTCGGGGCAATGAGCTACTTCATGATCTAAAATCTTGACTGAGGATTGTCTTCCCTATACTATATACGTACATATGTATGTTTCACATGGAATAGATAAAATCAAATTGTTTGAATAAAGTCTTGAGTGATTATCAATATTGATGTAGACTGTAATTCTTAGGAAAAACAATGGTGCACTTATAATATCCAAAAATAATACAAATGTTTTGTTGTTGTCTACTCCGCGTGTGATTTATTATTTGTTTATCTATTATTATTTTATTGTTTTTGTTTGTATATGTTTGTCTTTGATGTAGAAAGTTGGCTGTTAATTGTTTCCATGGACAGGGGTGTTAATTGTCTGCAAGGAAAAACAATGGAACATCAAACGCAATTTCCGGAATTTGATAAAGTTTGTCGTTTTATATCCCGTTTGAAATCCACTTGCTCAGCAACAAGTGTATTTGTGAAAAATGGAATCTGCGGGAAGCTGAAACAATGAAGTCGGAAAGGAAAAACAATTCGATTGCTCTATTTGAACTCATATCCGCACAAACAAATAAATATTAAATTACATAATAATCCTGGCGAATCTTATTGACTTTTGATATTCAGTTTTATTTTCTATATCTTTCCCCAGTCCCAGACAAATTTAAATAATATTTATATTTATAGATGTCACTGCCTTAATAAAAGCCTATTTGTTGTGTGGAATCACGAAAATGAATAGATGTCACTTATAGCGCTTTCTTCCCAACTCGTTCTTCCAAATGGATTGAATCTCACCCCCAATCGTTTCATTCGTTTAGAAGAGTGTTAGACAGAATACACCTAATGTCTCCAATTTGTAATCATTCACACTCGGCTTTTTGCTGCTCCTACAGTTAAAATGAGATGACTTGCGTTACACTCTGCATTTGTCATTTTGATAATGCAAAAGTAAATATCAATAGACAATACTGTTTAGTTCATCATCATAAAACCTTTACCTTTCAAATTGCTAGTTCTAAAATTAAAACGATTATCAAAATGGGGTTAATTGAAAGATTGTTCAAGTTATTTGTACATTTGATTTCTTGATCAAGGCACTTATAGTGAAATCATTTTGCAGACTGGTCTAACAGGCATTATTATCTAACACCCCGTGATGGAGCATCTATCTTCACGTCCCGCCCAACGTTACGTAGACCGTAACGCAGTGCTTGGACCATTTCATGGGAATCATCGCATCTGAAACGTTTAAGTACTACTCCATAGCCTTTCTGTCATCAAGAAAACTGAACGGTGAAATTAAATTAATTAACGTACTGATTGATAACATGCTTAATTACGGTTACTCCACTAGACGTAAATTATATAATCGTCGTTAATTTTATTTCGAATCAGCAACTTGTGGAATCGAATACCGTTAGACCCGAAAGTGCGGTAGCAGGTTTTGAAAATATGATTGTATCTACACTGATATACATAATGTAACAATTATAATTCATATCTCTTAGGGTGTATCGTAATTTTACGTTCTGTTTTGAGACAATTAATAACAATAAATGTAACACGTTTATCAACCGAGAACATGTGTGCGTCTTCATCACCACATATAGTTAGTGCTGTATTAATTTTGACCTTTAAGTTTTATATTATTTTGATATCGGGTTGTCATAGTCCTAAATCCCAACACTGAAACTATACGAAATATATATGTCATAAATAGAGTGCATTTAAAACACAATATATGTTTTGTATTTTATTTGTCTTTTCCAATGTTGTCTTATGTGTATCTCGTATTGCAAATATTTTTTGCCTGACATGAAGTCAAAACGACGATTGGATTGTGTGCGATATGGTTCTACCATTCGGCCCTTAAACAACCGCATGATCATTGTTACCCGATTGAGACAAGACACACCAATAAAACGATTACCATAACATAATCGGCCGATGATGAGAAATCTTGACAATATAGCACTAATGTCCCTACAGATAAAAGTTCTTAAAGATGAACAAGAAAAAAGCTAATGATTTTCATTAAAGTGAAGGATTCAAACAGTTGTTTGGGCGAGTTCTTTGGATAGGCTCGGTAATGGACAATAAACGTGGAACTAATGGGTCCAAACTATCATACTAAACGATCACTTTAGATATTTTCCACTTCTACTACAAAACACCTGTTTTCAAACCCCACTACAGGGTTTGGGTTACAAGTGGGCGGAGCCAATTACCAAACAGCAGCGCGGTTTAATTGGCTGCGCTTAAATGTCAGTTATTGATCCGCGCGCTGTGATTGGCTGAATGGATTCCCAGATTTAAATGCACCTGTGTGCTACACGGCCAGGGTTTGTATATATATCTCCAGTGCCATGTGCTGGTATTCATTGGAAAATTCTCCATTGCAACTGACAACAACATGCCGAAATCGTTTCTGATAAAATCAACTTCGCCGATTTGTAAAGCAAAGTCGAAATTGGATGATATAAAACCAGAAGAAATGGACGTAACACGCGAAAGTGCAGCTGATAAAAACGAGGAACTCACAAGCACCATTGAAGATTCTGATCTTGATGAGGAGATAGACATTATGTCAAATGATGATGACAGTCCACATGAACATGGACATAACATAGACGTAGCTGATGACATCGTCAAACAACAGAGTCCAAGTAGGATAGAAACAGCACGGACGAGTCCTGTCATGTCACCTGCACCATTATCAACAACCACTCAGACGCATCACCAACATCACCAAAATCTGCAACCAATGCCATCACCAGTGTCGTCAATATCTAGTCAAATCAGTCAGGACGATCACGACAGACAATCAATTTCACACAAAAACAATGCACGACGATCTCCTCATTATTTGCCATCACACCCACAACTCAACGAGAGCCAACAGTCACGACCAGGTAAGAATTGAACATTTTCACCATCTTTAATACGATGACGTAATACGATGAAGCGCACAAATAAGGATATCATATCGGCTAAATCTGTTGCTTGTTGAGATTTAATGCGACCAAATTTGTCTGATACACTATTTAACGTTTCAACAAAGAGACCAAATGTGTCATTAATATTTCTTTATTGTCACCAAGCAGGTTCATACTAGGGCCATGTGTGTTCGTCTATTTTAATTCAACATAAAAAATCCCAAATTATCAAAGACTGTGTATATAAAACAGCGACAGGTGATTCGGGATTTTGCGGGTAAAACTACGTTTAGTCACGTTTAAGGTAGCATTTACGTTAAATGTTATCATGTTTATATTTAAATAAACTTTCACTTTCATTTGGGATTTGACATAGATGTCACATTGTATGATTCCACGTGACATAAATGAAGGGTATATTAACAAAACGGAGCTTACATTTGAAACTAATAATTGAAAGTATTGCTTTAAGGGAGTTTATTTATATTACACTTAAATACATTAGACCTATGCCATTGGACCGCTTATTTGGAATCAATTTTTGTGTCAATAGTATATAAAGTCATAGAACATATCATTTCGGAGTTGATTTACAGGAACTAATAAAAAGAAAAAGCTTATACACTTGCGCCTGAAAGCTTTTAAAGGAATTGACTCTTAAGAGATTGCTATAAAAGTTTTCAATAAGCCCTCGAAACAGGTTCTTGGCGACTTAATCGAATATAGTGGGGGATTAGTCAATATCTCTCTAGTTTGGTTGTAAAGTTAGACTAAATTCTTGCGTCTAATGGAATCAAACTACTAATTTACAGACCAAATCGATTGGCTTGAGCAGAGTAAAATGTTCTTGGAAGACGGGACAGATTTTACATTGCATTGGACGAAAACCATCCAAAGGAATTTGTTTGGTTGTATCAGTATCAACCAAACATTCGTTCTTGTCTGAACCAGAAAGTAACACGGGTTGCAATATCGTTAATCCTAATCCGCTGTTAATCCCTATATTAGCATCTTAGCAAACAGGATTAACCCTCCAAAGTTCCCACATTAGAGACTGACATCAATTTGACATCTTTATCATCTAAAACATGTAGTTTGTAATCAACACTTGATATTAATACATCAATTGAAGAGATCGAGGATGCGCTAATCCATTTTGTTTGGTGTTTGTAAGAAATGACTGGGCTTTGTAAAACGCAAACAATTTGATCAACATAATGTTTTACAGTATATCAAAGTGACAAACTTTCCATTTGTCGCTTGTAGTAATCAAACAACCTGTTTTACCAAAGTCAACACAGACATCCCATAATTCACGGATCCCCGAGGACCGCCATCGCAACTTCTACTATTTGGCACATGACACACAAAGCCATATGGGAAAAGGCATACCTCTTTATGAATAGAAACCTCCCGTGTGGAATCCCATCACAACTGATTTTTTCATCGCCACTTCCGATGATTTTATTTGTGCGGATATCAATGTCATTTGAAACCATATACCCTACCATCGGAATTGTATTGACACCAGCTCAAAGCAGCCAACCAAGCGCGCGTTATTAATTCCATCGCACTGTCTAATTAAGCAATAAAAGACGAAGCAGTTTCACGTTCCTTCACATACACCTGCTCGATGGCCGCCAATATGTTAAATAAATCAACGTTCTCATTTTACACTATTTTGAAATGAAACGAAATATTGAAATGTAAAATGGGAAAGAAAAGCAGAAATAAAAGAAGCGATAGGCCTATTTTAAACAGACGTTGGAAAGGGGAAAATTTTTTCGTGATCAGTTTTGATATTCTTCATTTGATTGCGCTCATCTTGTATATTGGGTTGTTTAGTCTTTGATTTTTGATTATACGAAAATGTAGCCTGTAGTATCACACAGGTGCGCATCCACCGACTTTTGAAGCTCTTATTATCAGAACTAATTTATTAGATTGATTCTGTTTGATTGGTGATTGTCTTAACGATAGCTCAAATGTGATTGTCAAAATAAGATTAACTAAACTCAAACGATCTTTAACCTTCAACTAATTCTATTTTCTTTTATTTCCAGCTATTATTACCAGTATTCACAACAACAATCGTCTGCCAATGAAACAATCTCCACTTCCAACCGAGAGTTACCAAGATCGTCTGCAAATGCAGAAACCAACGACGCCACCCAGCGGCACAACACCAATAGCGAAACCAGAGCCATCTATTCCTGATTATCGGGCATTTGGGCACGTGCAGCCACATCCGATGGACGCTCTAAGGATGCATGATCCTCGATTTTGGCAGAATAATATCACAAACGTAACGAACATTACGAACATGGGCCACCCATATCTCGGTATTAGCTTCCACCAGCGACTCCAACAATTGCATAGCTTACACACTGCGCATGCGCAACATGCACATGAAACATTGAAATACCCTTCTGATCCTTACAAGTATTCTCCTGATGTCTTCAAGTACCACTCAGACCCATTGAAATCGAGTCAGTTCTCCCCGACTGAGGCATTCAAGTATCCCCCGATGCACCCAACAATACATCCGTACTCCCCAACTTCGGCGTATCATGCAATACCTGCTCCACCACTGGTTCCCCTTTCCCGCTCCCCCGGGCACGTGTCCCCCAGGACCCATGACCACTACCTCACTGCAGACATACATCGAATGCAGAGATCACCAACAGACACTATACCTTCACCCGTCAGCGCTAAATCACAAGAACTGACCATGGACAAACCAAAACTGCCATGGAGCATCGAGGCTATGACCTCTGACCTTGACAGCCGGAAAAGGAAACGAGAGGGGGAACCCCCAAGATACCAATGCGAGGCTTGCAACAAAAGTTACTCAACATTCAGTGGACTCTCTAAACACAAACAATTCCACTGTGTTACTCAAGTAAAGAAACAATTCAACTGTAAATATTGTGAAAAAACTTACATCTCACTCGGGGCACTGAAAATGCACATTAGGACTCATACATTACCGTGCAAGTGTAAACTTTGCGGCAAAGCATTTTCCCGCCCTTGGTTGCTCCAAGGCCATATAAGGACCCATACTGGCGAGAAGCCATTCAAATGCCAACATTGCGGACGTGCTTTTGCGGACAGATCCAACCTTAGAGCACATCTGCAAACTCACTCAGATGTGAAAAAGTACAGCTGTAAATGTTGTAGTAAAACATTTAGCAGAATGTCACTTTTGTTGAAACACGAAGATGGTGGGTGCGCGGGGATGTTAACCGCTCATTAGCATTTAGGCCATCAAATGTTGAATCTCGATCTTCCGAATTTGTGTCAAATTAATTTCGTTCAGTGCAATTACCAACATGTATATCATCAAGCGATGTTAGTTGTTTAAAACATATCACGGCATTCATTTATCATAACTCAGCAACATAATAATTTATTATCTTATTAGTAAGTTATCTCATTACTGCTCATATCATATTCATTTATCATATCAGAATATTATTTATTTCGTTTTATATTTCATTTGATTTGAATATCATATGGTTGATTAGTAGTTAGTACATTTTTGTATTGAGATTTTATCAATGCATTTAAAGGGGGTCAAATCTTGCCTGGGTATGTATCGCAAAATAAATCCCCGGTTTAAACAGTGACAATGATTATACGCCAAAGAACATTTGAATGTACTCTATTCAAAGATGTAAATATATAACTGTATATAATTCTATGCTACACATCAAAATAGAATCGCAACAATCAAATGTATTTTCTTTTCAATTAAGGATTAGATTCAAAGACTCAAAATGCCAATATCAATTTGTATTACTTTAAATGCAAAATTCATTATTGGTATCTCTATGCAATAGAACACTCATGAACAACGTCTTCTGTATACATTCACAAAACAGAAGTATTAATTGGTTCTTTATATAATTATTGTAAATTGTCAGCAGTTACATTGTATTTGTTTAGAATCTGAATGCTTTCATGGGTGTGTATACACTGCCGAACATAATACTGCCAAGCATTTGTTGTACAGTGCTACTGTCGTACATGTACATCAAAATATTAATGTAAACGTATGAATCTCAGTTTGTATGAATGTACAGTGATATGAATAAATAAATAAATAAAATATAAAAATAAAATATTATTTATTATGTTCATGTTTATCCATTTACCCAACCAGACTGACCAACCAACACAATCAAATTCAAACAACTATACTATTATATAAGTTTATGATACCGTTTTCAAACATGTTCATTTGAAGTCGAACCTCAACAAGTGCAATTAAAATTTTGGACCCCGATGTTCCTTCCCTTTATTTTATGTCATACCAAGCACCAGCGTTCATAAATCATGTAAATATCTGAGACTAGCATTCGTTCTATATTTAGCTTTACACCCCCCCCCCCCCACCCCACCCACATACATACACTGAGAAAGACATGTTAAATGTAACTTTACATTAACCCCTTCATCCCCATTCGCCGAACCATTAGGCCAAGTCAACACCCAGTACTATCCCTAGCCAAATTTTTTTTCAAAATCATGCAGTTCACCATTCTGAATACTTCTCAAATTTTGTTCATTTTGGCCCAAAGTTGTCAAAAGTGAATCCCCTCTGGAATTTTTAAAAAGTGAACCCCTTATGCAAATCCTGGATACGGGCCTGCATTCTGATTTATCAGTCACTCTTTCATTCTTTATCTAAGGCTTGTGATGGAGATTTTCTTAGGGATGGTAGGGACTTGGATCCCCTGGCCAAGTTTCAGATAAATGAGTCAACACTGACTCGGTTGAATTATTTAATGGTGGGGGGGTGTACCGTCGGAGGGGTGTGATGGGTCATGTAATACTACGAGGTGTTTGATTGTAAACAGACATCTAATTTCTTTCCAGCCCATATTATTGCATTATGATACACCATGTCATCTCATTTCTTCTCAGTCCTGTTTCAGGTGAAACAGTAAGATGCTATGAGGATCAGCTAGAAATGATGTTACTGGTGAAACTAAAAGATGGTCTGAGCATCAGAATTAATTGTAAAGTATCCGGGTGTAAATTCTACTTAATAGTATTTATTAATCCACGGTGCTCCTAAAATACTTGCGATATGTTCAAGATCCAGTTTTAGCTTATGTTTTAAAATTTACAATTAAATTCTTTTTTTTTTTATAATTTTTTTTATTTCAAAGAATAAGCATGTTAAAGCAATTGCAAAAAACAATTACAGTACAGTTACATGGTAAACCTACATTTAACAATTTTACAATACAGTACAGTGGTTAAATATTTCGTCCTAAGAGACGTTATACCATTGGCATTTATAGCAGCACGACGTGGCCTTGAAATCCATCTCAATCTTGTTAACTTCTATCTTTGGGATGTCTTGTGTGGACTTATTAAATTAATAATGACGTTATTGAATATCCCAAATTTTGTCATAGTGATATGTTTGAAATCTACATGTGAAATCACATTCATTTCAATAGTCTTGCTTCAAGACCTTGACCCCCACTCCAAACTTTTGTTGAACTAGATAGGTGGGAGTCGAGGTCTCTGATGTCGCTTTTTATCAAAAGCATATAAGAGAGTAGTTAGTAGAGTTTGCGGGTTCTACAATGAATTACATGGTGATTTCAAATCGATCTCAAGATTATAGATTACCTATTCACTAAAAAAGTATACATTACTAGTCCCCTATGTGCAAAATTACACACGGCACGACGTGGATTTAATTATAATTTATTTTGAGCAACCATAGGCCAAATGATTCGAGACATACAGGTGCCCGACCTGTTGTATGAGCTAGGCGTTCCAACTTCCAGGATAAAACAGGTTGCGTCGCGTGCCAACACATGGTCCCCGAAATTTCTACGGAGGCCCACAATGTCCCCCAAATACAATCCACCGATTCTTCTAATTGTAAGTTACAATTTGGGAATCATTTTTCTGATATTACATGCATTTGGAATTTTTCAGCCGCTGAGACAAGCAAACCTTTAGCATCGCTTTGATCACAGGGAATATCACATATCAACTTTTAAGATAAATATTTATTGATTTTAGAATCGGGCCATCGTACACAGCCAATCTCAAACTGTACTGTACAGCGCTGTTTTTGAAACAGTACTGTACAGCGCTGTAAAAACAGTGCTGTACAGCGCTGTTTTCCAAAACAGTACTGTACAGCGCTGTAAAAACAGTACTGTACAGCGCTGTTTAAAACAGTACTGTACAGCGCTGTAAAAACAGTACTGTACAGCGCTGTAAGATAAACAGCGCTGTACAGCGCTGTAAAAACAGTACTGTACAGCGCTGTTTTTGACTTTGAAAATGATAAATATATTATATCATAATATATTCTGTTATAATAGAGGGTCAAGGGTATTTTATGTTTTGTTATTGATGTTTGGTTACAAAGGCCACTTTTATCAAAAGGCATTAATTTTGTGTTTTCAAAACGGGAGGCCCAGAATGAGAAAACCAGGTATTATTGTTCTTATTATTTACACTGCCAAAATAACTCCATGCTAAATCAGCGCTAATCTTTTTTCGCGCTAATTTAGCGCTGATTTGGTACTGAATTGGTACAAATAAAGTTTGTGTGGAATTAGCGCTAATAAATCAGTACCAAATCAGTACAAACCTCTGCAGTTAGTGCGAAATCAGCACTAACTTAGCAGTGCTAATTTAGTGCTAAGTTAGTGCTGATTTAGCACTATAAAACAAAACTGATATTTTTTCTGACTTTTATTACAGTATTATTGATTGATTTAAGCAATATTGATATTACTTATTTAGAGTTTGAACTATTTTATTATAAATAACATTCATTATTGTGATTTCTTCAATTGAGTTTGACATCTTAGGGAAATCCCTGGGAAATCCCTTTGAACTTTTGACCTATGACGTCACACATTCTATGACTCATACAGGAAGTTTGAGAAGCCACATATTTTAAATTTTGATTTCTGTGCCAGTCTCTGCCATCTGTCTGCAATTTTCACTTGTAAGTATATATTTGATTGTTTTGTATGAATAAATGAGCATATGTTAGGTGCACCTATTATATAGAAGACTTTCAAATACCAGATAGGCTCTGTGGGATAGGCTAGGGTGAAATTCAAAGATAAAAATTCAGGAGGAATTGAAAAAAAAATTCAAATTGAAAAGTCACTGAAAGTCTTGTCTTAAAAGTCCAGGGCATAGGCTAGTTCTTTGGAGTTTTTAATAGAAAATATATTTATAATCTGCAATGCATAACGACTTCTGAATGAAGCCAGAAATGGGCCAATCCTGGCCAAAATGTAATTTCTGAGTGATTTCAGTTTTTCAATTTTTTATTCTTTATAAAAGATCATTTTCTTTTATCGGGAATGCATTTCTAGGCTACCTTTTTATTTTATAGACTTGATGTTGGCACTATTGGTCAGATGTTGGCATATCATGAGGAGTGAAGGCAGTAAAGAATACAATACATAATCAATGGATGGAGGGCCATGTATCAGCAATGTGGAATGCAACCCGGAATGCAACATACTTATGCCATTTAGGCTAGGTGCGTAAAGTAAACGTTTTAACAGTTTTAGGAAATCTAATAATAATTTATTTTGCTTATTCAGCGTATCGTTGGAATCGTGCCCCCATGTCATATTACCATGTTCATTTCATATCACCATGTTCCCATGTTATATCACCATGTTCATTTCATATCACCATGTTTCCATGTTACATCACCATGTCCATGTCATATCACCATGCTCCCATGTTATATCACCATGTTCATATCATATCACCATGCTCCCATGTTATATCACCATGTTCATTTCATATCACCATGCTCCCATGTTATATCACCATGTTCATTTCATATCACCATGTTTCAATGTTACATCACCATGTCCATGTCATATCACCATGCTCCCATGTTATATCACCATGGTCATATCATATCACAATGCTCCCATGTTATATCAGTCACCATGTTCATTTCATATCACCATGTTCCCATGTTATATCACCATGTTCATTTCATATCACCATGTTTCCATGTTACATCACCATGTCCATGTCATATCACCATGCTTCCATGTTATATCACCATGTTCATATCATATCACCATGCTCCCATGTTATATCACCATGTTCATTTCATATCACCATGCTCCCATGTTATATCACCATGTTCATTTCATATCACCATGCTCCCATGTTATATCACCATGTTCATTTCATATCAACATGTTCCCATGTTACATCACCATGTCCATGTCATATCACCATGCTCCCATGTTATATCACCGTGTTCATTTCATATCACCATGCTCCCATGTTATATCACCATGTTCACTTCATATCACCATGCTCCCATGTTATATCACAATGTTCATTTCATATCACCATGCTCCCATGTTATATCACCAGATATTATTTCGAACTTTAATTTACATTGGTAAGCAAATCTGCGAATATTCATAGAAAACTATATTTTCAGGTAACTGTTATCAGTTATAACAACAAAAAGCTTGTGGTACCAGCATATAATCAATTTGAACCAAATCCGCCAACTTGTACTTGAGTTTTCAAAGATTACAATTTTTTATGAAAAATGGCTGCCATTTTGAAATTTAGTGGCCATCATCAAAATGTCTTCTTCAACAAAGCTCTATTGTCCTGAGGCATCAGCATATAAAATTTGAGTTATCAAAGATTTAATTTTTTACAAAAAATGGCGTGCATTTTGAATTGAGTCGCCATATTGAAAATTGATAAGAGGTCAGAGGTTCTACACCGATAAGGCATTAGACTATAAATTTTGAACCGAATCCAGCAACCGGTATTTCATTTATTGTTCGGACAGACGGACAAACAGACGAATGGACGGACGGCTTTCTATATCTTCATCTAACTTCCTTCGGTGGGATAATAATGATAATTATGTACATTTGTCTCTCAATTTGTCTTTTCAGATTACAACAGCCAGACAGTTCAAACTCTTCGGAGTTATAGATGGCAGAAAGAGCAAGGGGGCAAACCCTGTAGACCTGTTTGGGAAGTCCAAAGAAAGACTTGATAGGTTAGCATAATCAATATTTAAGGGCC